GCAAATCTAGATATTGTTTAAACCAGTATTTCTAGACACTTCCTTAGTCTCCCTCACTGTCTTTTGCAACACAATGTTTTAAAAAAGTTTCGATTAACATTTTTTTAATTTAAACATTTCTTTAAGAAACTTTTAAATCTTCTTTTGCATGTCTAAAAATTTTTTAGTCCAGTACATCTGCAAAGTCTCGATTGATTGCCCTAAACTTTGAGATAGAAGAATGCAATTAATTTTTTTTTTAAACTGACAGAAATTGAAAATTAACTGAAATCAGCAAATAACTTTATAAACAACTTTAATATTTACTAACTTAAATAATAACTTAAGCAATTTTGAAGTCTTGGTAATGATTATGAATTATAAAGAAACCTTTACATATTTGTTGTTATGACTCTCAAAAACACTTAAAATTTTATCATAATAAGAGTGAAATTTTTTAAACATCTTATTATTTCATGCAATTTATTACATACATGCTCATTATACATACATAAAGTGGGGAACAAAATAAACAACACTATTGGTGTATTTTTTGGGATTTATACAATTTAGTTTGAGTACATACATATATACAGCATGATTCACGTTTCATCAGGTAAATGAGAAAGTATATTTTTCACATAAAAATTACTTAAGTTACTTAAAATTAAGTTACGTGGCACTTTTCAAAACGGCTGAAATTGTTGAAAAAAAGTTTTTAATTTCGTTTGCGATAACTTCCGCTCACGTTTCAAAAAAAATACATTGTGTTTCTCATTTTACACACGAAAAAAAACCAAATTCGATTTCCGAGAAAACAAGTTAAATTGCAAAAACGATTAGTATTATTTTTATTACGCCACTCCCAGTTTACACGTTATGAATCTTTTTTCGTTTTTGGTTATAATTTATTGAAATTGTGCAAATTTAAAATGAACTGTTGATTTATGATAATATGTAACAAGTTCAAAATTTATGCTAACTGTTACAAGACATCAATACCAATTTTTGAAGCATACGACAGTGGAAAACATTTAACACAAATTTATTTACAAGTAGTTAAAATGGGAACATAAAAACATAAAAATTTAAAGGGACTAATTTTCTGGAGCACCTTGTTTTGTTTTATGAAAGGCACCACGAATGTATTGTGATTTCATAGACGTTTTTAATTAAATAAACCAGTGGTATGTGGGATGAATGATCATCTATATTTACATGGGTTTCAAACATATTTCCTGCAAAGAACACGACTAGTGTTTTATTTGTTTTTGCAAAAAATATGATTTTTTTTTTAATTTAACAAAAAAATAAGGTGTTTAAGGGACATTTATGTGAATCCTACCTTTTATATCATCGTCTTCTAGTGTTGTTGAACTGTCGGTTGATTCTTTAACTTGAGATCCGTCGCCTTTTTTCACGATTATACTTCTACCTAAAACACATTGTCAAAGTGAGAATGTAATTTTTGCACTGAGAGACACTGATCATAAAAAGCCAATTCAAAAATGATTCAATCAATACCAAAACCCAAAATTTTGCATTTTTATGGATATTATCAACTTCTTTTCTCAATAAACAGTACTGCTTTTTACATTAATATCAATATAATTGGATGAGTTTGAATTTTAAAGAATATTACAAAGAATTATATTGATATTTAGTTAAGGATGAGACGAAAAAGCTTATGTTTTGTGTGCACGATATGAGTTGTGAAATAATTGTTTGAAAAACCCATAAACAACATGCATGAAGAAGCATTCCAATCACACATTCCTCATAACTTTACTGGTTTCAATGTGTGTGAAAATACATGAATAAGAAAAAACAGGCATACCATTGGTAACCTAATAAAGTTATGTTAAAAATTAGTAAATAACAGCGAATGATGATGTTGTCGTGGTAGGTTGATGCAGGTTGCAGTGTTCTTACCACATTCTAGTTGCATCAAGGTGAAGTGAAGTGAGGTAGGGTGACGCGAACAAGTCCGCCACAACCAACAAAACAAAGTTACCAACTACCCAATGCTCTATTCTAAATTATTATGCACAACTACTAGTGGTATAGCATGTGTGTAAGTTGGTGGAAGAGGTGATGAACACAGAAAACATCTCACTCTATACAGAGAAAAAATTTTTTGGTATTTTTTGACAAAAAACTTGGAAAACTATTTTTCCAACAGAAATAAATAGAGTCAAAGTGCAAACTTTAAACCCTCATAATTTCGAAATTTTTATAGATAGAATTTTTTTAACATTTTTCCATCTTCCTGGTATCTTACCTTACACGGCATTTTTCTCTGGCGCACCCTGTATAGAGACGGAAAAGCGCAATTCCGCTTTTCAGTCGAATGTTTTCTCGTTCTTATGTGTGTGTGTGTGTGTGATGTGTCAGCAAAATAAATTAACTATGTACATACAAAAATACTAAGAAATGTATAGTTACTAAAATATTTACGTTTTAAGTTTCTAATCAAATGAAGATACTAGGGAAGGGCTGAGTAAAATTATATTACTTTGTATTTACAATGAAATCTCCACACTTCCTTTCACTCGCAACTTTTTCAATAAAAATTTTTATTTAAAAAGAAATATTAATACGTCAATTATAAAGAAATAAACTTTGGAACATTGTAATACATCTTTGTATTTGTTTTAATTAAAAACGCTTGAAACTATATACAATTGTGGTGAAAAAATCATTTTACAGACATTAACATATTACAACCACTAAAAATGTGTACTTATTTTTGGACAACACGGTATATTACAATTATTCGTTTGGCCATTATAGTAGTCGAATTAATTTTTTGATAATTATCCTATTAATAATAAAGCCAATTGAGAAATATATGTTCCGTTTTTATTGTTACATATTTGAACAGGTAAAAGAATATTTAATTTTAAGACAAAAGTTTCCTATAAACATGTATCAAAACATGTTTTGTAAAGGAGGTACACCGTTTTTAATGGGATTGTATCGAAAAAACGTGAAAGAACTCTTTTTTGTAAAAAACTATGGAATTTAAGATTTTGTTGCTGAAAGTGGCAAGAAACTTCAGCCAACCCCCATTTTCAACTTAATTTGCTAATTTTTTGGTCCATTTTGGTGAAATTTTACTTGAAAAAGGCAAAAATAATTTCGTTATCGACCCCTAATTTGGGTATTTTAGCAAAATTTTGTGAAAAAAATGTGTTTTGGCTCAAAATAATAATACAATTTTTTGCCTAATTTATTTTTGGGCAATTAAGAGTTTTGTTCAAAAATAAGCAAAAAACACCATTTCCTATCTAATTAAGAGATCACTCGGCTTACTTGAGCAAAATGTCGGCAAAAAGTGCTTTTTTAACTGAAAAAGTCAAAAATAATGTTTTTTTCTACCAAATTTGAGTCATTTTTTGCCAAAATTTTGCAAAATCTTTTTAAAAAAACAGCTTTTAACTCAAAAAAAGGTGCACTAACTTGGTGGTTTTTTGCTTGTGAATAATTTTTTTCGAAAAAGAGTAGATTTTTATGCCACCAAAATAAATCCAATAAAACAGACCAAAATAGAACAGTAATTTGAATCAAGTTTAGTGATTTTGAGGCCTACTTTAGGGAAATTTTGCGAAAAAAAAGTTTTTAGCTGTAAAACATGTTTTTACTCACGAAAATGTCAAAAATAGCATAATTATCGATCTAATTTGGTAAGCTTTGATTTGTTTTAGCGAAAAAACTCAGTTTATGAGTTAAAAAATGTATTTAACTGCTTCAAAAAGCAAAAATAGCACAATTTTTATCTATTTTTGGACTCGTTTGAACAAAACTTTGCAAAAAAATTGCATTTCTGGCTGAAGAACATTCTTAAACGCTTGAGAAAGAGAAAAATAACATCATTTTCGATTTAATTTCGTGATTTTTTATCTTTTCTCGATAAAGTCTTATTCAAAATTTGAGTTTTTATCTTAAAAACATGCTAAAACGTTCAAAAAAGCAAAAACAGTATGATTTTTGACTAAATTTGACCATTTTTTTCGGTAAAAAACACAACAAAACAAGTGTAACATGAATATTAAAAAAGAGTAAGTTGTATCGAAAAACGCAAGAGACCTCTTTTTTGTAAAACACTATGGAATTTAGAATTTTTGTTTTTGAAAGTCACAAGAAACTTCAGCCAAAATAATTTTTCATCCCAGCTTAAGACGCCCCTGATTAAAAATTTTGATATAAAGGTAATCAACTGTACCAAATTTTTTAATTCTATCTAAAATGGTTTCTGAAATATTGGACAAAATCCCTAGTATTTTTCAATACATGTTCATAGGAAACTTTTATCTTAAAATTCAATATTCTATCACCTGTTTAAATTTGTAACAATTAAAATGCTTAGAAATTGTAAAATTTTCGTTAGATTTTCCCACTTAAGAGCGAAAAAAGATGTGGAAATTTTTAGATCATTGTGTATTTCCTCTACTGTAACTATTCCTATGAAAGATCGACAAACATGCCTAAAGCAATTGCATCTAAATAGAAAGAAGGTTTTTACAGCTTGAATTCTTTTACTTTACACTAAACTTGGTGTGTTTTTCGGGTATTGTGTATTTGTGTGTTGTCAGTGGTGCCACAAAATTAATAGAGATTTAAAAGACATTTAGGAAATAGGATAAGTATACTTTTATTGTCAAGAGCACTTTTTACACATGTCTACGACTTATAACCATCCAAAAAATCGAATGCACCAAACATGTGTAAAAATAATTAAGGTAAGTTTCTTTTTATATAACAATATTTATAGTTTAAGACGTATTTTTTAAACTTACTTGAGAAATTACGCGTAGCCAACATAGTTGTAAGTATTGCACCCTGAAACAAGAATAGGGTAAATGGAGAAATTTTTTCTCAAAAATTAATACCTTAAGCTTGCGTCTGGCATTGAATTTCTTGAGGCAATCCACAGTCTCTTGTCGATGAACAACAGACGCCACACGTTCTCTTTGCTAAAAGAAAATTTTCAAAGATTGATTTCGTTAATATTTTAAGGGACTTACGCAAATCCATGGATGTTTTAAAGCTTCCGAGGCAGTAATTCTCTTTCCTGGATTAACCGTAAGCATTTGATTGATGAGGTTTTTTGCCTCAGGAGTGACCGTATCCCATTCCGGACTGGGATACTAAAAGAAATATTTCAATTAGTTTTCAATTTATGACATAATAAAGCTCTGAGCAACCGTCTTCCTCCTTTATCATAATAACCACCAATAATTAATTACTAGTTTTCAAACTAATTAATTGCTTTAATTACTTGTATGCGTAATTGACAAGAACAGCTGTTTCTAAATAAATTTCGTCTTTTGCTTAGTAAATAATAATTTTCCAATTTTCCTTTTCATAAGCGTTAAATGAGAATTTTTTTTCTTGAAACTTACATCATAAGCACCAGCTTTAATCTGTGCGTATAACCGGTGTTGGTCCTCATCCCAAAATGGAGGATAACCGACTAAAAGAATGTATAATATAACACCACATGCCCAAATATCTACAGGTTTCCCATAGGGCTCCTTTTTCAATACTTCCGGAGAGAGATATCCTGGCGTTCCTGCGAAACCGAACCAGGCTTGTTGTTCTCCTTGCACTTCTATCGCTAGACCGAAATCGGCTAATTTCACAGCTGCTCCTTTGGCTTTACTTGCTAAAAGAAGGTTTTCAGGCTGAAAAATTAAAACATATTAACAAACATTCGAAAATAATTCTCGATTCTTACCTTGAGATCTCTATGTACTACACCGTTTTGATGACAATGATTTACTGATTCTAATATCTGTTGTATGCAATGTGATGCATCTGCTTCTGAATAAAACTCTCGCGCTACAATATCTTCAAATAATTCGCCACCCGTTACCCTAAAATGCAAACAAGATTATTACTACATTTATCAATCTTTCACGTAAAAGTGAATTTTATTTTGTCGAACATTTTGTAACAAAGCTTCAACTTGAATCCCTTTAAATACTGTGTTTGTTTAGTCAAAAATAGTCAAGATTTTTCAAAAATAGCTGTTTTATTCCGAATTTTTAACAAAGATAACTATTTTTGAAAGTATAATAATCGCATTAAGGTGCATTACACATTAATTAGTTTTAATAACATGTCGTTTTATTCGCTATATTTTATTTTATTAGCGCTTTAATAGCAAGTCTTCCACATCTTCTCGAAGAATTACCAATCCACCTACGTAAAGCACTTATTTGTAGGCGAGCTTAAAGCTTAATAGAGAAGCGAGGAAAATCGACTTTACTGAAATAGTTTTGACGTATACTAATATCTACACGTTTATAAGTTGTTTTGTAAATACGAAATGTGATGACAATTCCAAAATCTGCAATTTGGCGTGTAAAATTTTGAACCATGACCATTAATTACATTACAATTAAATTTGATCGGACTCTTAAGCTGAAAAATCATATTTTTAATGAGCTTTATCGTTTTAAATTCAGCACTTGTCTGTAACTCAATTAAAGCGATCGTGAATGTTAATAATTTATTTTCTTTTTATTTTATTACTTATTGCAACATATTTTATGAAAAAACATACTCCCGACTTCATGTCATGAAAATAAAAAAAAATAATTAAATCAAAACAAAGCTGATATGTCTTCCGGCGAAATATGAACTTTGATATTTTCCTATATTAATAATTTTTGAAGCCCAGGACAAATCCAGCTAAACAAGGAAATTTCATTATCCAATACAACGGCGTTTGTGGATGTTTAAAAAGGACTAGAATCACAACTTTTTTCGAAACGAATTTTGTTTACATTTCTCATCAAGAAAAAAAAATCTATTGGCAGCACTGAATTCGTATAAATTTCCCAGCATTTGCAACGATTTACAGCTACAAATAATAATTAAAGTACATATTTCATGGCCTATAACAAGAGACCATAATACATTTTTATGATAGTGCTTCTTCTGCAACCATTTATCTCAATATTGAATCCTTATTCTATTAAAAAACTTTAATGAACAGGAAATTGAGTTGTTTCTCATTTAAGTCTGAAATAAAATCTACTTTGGTGTTTAATAATTAGCCAAATTGTTTGAAACACCCACCCAACAACATGCTTACTAAACATCAATACTTACAAATCAAATACTAAATAATGAAAATTTTCTTCTTGTATACTGTCGTGTAACCTCACTGAAAAATAAAAGACATACAATTAGTTACGTATTATTGTGCTCAAATTAAAAAATTTCTTTTCGAAAAATATTGTATGCAATTGTATAGACAAACAGAGGAAATAATTAATTCACTTGAATCAATAAGACTTTAGTTTGTTTTTCCTCTATTTTATCTATAATATTGTGAAATTAAAGCAAAATAAGGCAATTTATTTACGTAGAAAAAAATGTCTACTAATGCATGTCTATAATCACGCAGTTTTATGACTTTAATCATTTAAAGAGTTTGGAGGGATAATTGATGGTTTGCATACATGCAAGTTAATTACAAATTATAATAAAAAAAGATTATAGAAAAATATTTACAAAAAAAATGGTAAGACATCACTAGCCAGAATTTTTATTTTATCGAGAGACAACAATAAATACAATTAAGCTTCTTTTAATGACTCTTTTTTACAAAAAATAACATAACGTGCTTGTTGTAGGTACTCCATTTATCTTATTAAAATTTGATTTGCTATATTTTCATTTATAATGTAAATTTTGCAAAAAACCTTTTGTGTGAGTTTAAAAAACAATAAAAGCTTCACAATCAAATGAAACAGTTTTTGTTTTTATAAGACTTGCTTTAAAATACACAGGATAAAATGAGAACATTTATTTGTTAATATGGGACTGAATTAAATATTATTAAATGTCGGTCTAGCATAAATCTGACAGCGTTTTTTCGTAATATAAATCCATATTTCGAGAGATGAAATATTATTTTGTTGATTTCATCTCAATATTTATGGTTTCCCATATTTTATTTTTTAATGCAATTGATTGTTTATCGATTCTTTTTATGAATCATTAGCATTATTAACATACTAATTACTAATAATGACCAATGTAATAAAACTCACCAAGTTGAACATGTTCAGAGATCACTGCATCGATAAAACAGAAAGAAAGAATTAGTTCTATTTTCATTCAACTTTCATACTTCCGTTTAACACGAATAATTATTTTTTGTGATCTCTAAAAACTTATTAGAATAATGAAGACTGTCAGCGTTTCAAGTTGAATATGAAACAAAATAAATTACTTTTACGACTAACACTTTTGAAATTAAATAACATGCAAGAATTTTAATACCAAGTGTCAGTATGAATAATGAATTACTTACTAAATGAAAAAATAAGGAACAAATTCCGTATGATTTGTATTTCAAAAGCAAGAGAAACTGTGTTTTTATTAACTGCCAAGACATCGTTCTAAAAAAGTCATCACGTAAATTCGCAGTCATTTAAATTTATATTGTGGAATAAATACGCCGTTTGCGAAAGAGAGAACTTAGCTTTAGAAATATTGCTTTTCGCGTCCATTAAATCTAAATAGTCAAAAAAAATTAATTCTGTGACAATTTTAATCAAACGAAAAAATAACAGAAAAAAAATTGCACTTTTTAACCTGTTTGATAATGTCGTTTACATCAAAATTAGAAAAAAAGTCAACGAGATGCTAAACGAGTACACATGTTAACACTTTGTCTATTTGCACTCAAACTCATCTAGGTACAAATTCCTGTCTGCATTCTTGCAGCTTGGCATGTCACAATTTTTGTGACAGAAACTAATTGTGTTTAAATTAGCGTTAGTATTATTCTTAGACATAGTAAAAACAATAAAATTTTACATGGTATATGTGTTTTTTATGATGACTTTTAAACGCTGTGTGCCTACTAATTTTCAATTCTCTAAATGCTGTGAAGATTTGAATTATAGACAAAATTTGCATCAACACGTTATGTTACTTCATTTAATATCATAAAATTAATTTGTACATTGTGGTAGACTGTCGCAATTAAAACACTTTGCTTGTATCACCCAAACTATTAATTATTTTTGGCAAAAACTGACTTTTGTTATAGACAAAAACCACTATTCAAGTTCATAAAGTAATGAACAGAAATATTGAGAGCATTACATTGTTACTAAAAGCACTAACAAGAAGTTGGAAACACGGCAAAGTTTATGTAAATACAAAAGCAACGACTCTGTTATTCCTCGTCTTCGTGATCCTTTACATTTAGCTACAAATGAGTAAATCTAATTGGCCTGTACTGTATCAAACCTCATCTTCATTACTTCTTGTTCATATTTTTTCTTAATAAAAGAGTGTTAGAACCAGAAACTAGTTTTAGGAACTTTTTAATTAAACTTTCAACTTCTAATTCCAATTGAAAACTTGCTAATTTTTTAACTGCCGATTTACACGACAGGTACGTTTGTGAAAAAACTCATTTCAATTTATTTAATTTATTTCGTTTAAATGGATTGAGAAAATAGGTTATAACAACCTCGACTAATCTCAAATTCCTAAAATCAATATCGTGTCAAGAGTTACCGTAATTTGATGATATAAATTAATCTCATGACATTCGAGAATAGATTATTTATCCAAATAAGTAGGAAATATGATTAAACAAGAAAAGCAGAATGAAAATGTCAAGACCCTTGAAAATGCATTTGATCAAGAAATCATGCAATGATTTAAAAAAATAATTTCAAACATGCGACATCAATAAAGTGATTGAGTATGAAAAAATGCCTAAAAGAACGGTTACCTAAAAGCTTGAGAACATCGGGATTGCAAACTATTTACAGTAAAAAATAGACATACATTAATGTTCGCCCTAGTCACCAGTTTGTTAAAATGGTAAATCAAAGATGATTACTAGTGAAGCCAATGACATGTAAATATCTGGTAAATTTTCTTCTTACCTATGTTTGGATGCTGTAATTTCCTACAAATTCGTGCTTCTCTTTCTAACTTTTGGAAATCTGAAACAAATTAAAATCTTTATAAGAAAAGAATTGGATTATTTTTTAATTTCATTGTGATTATTTTCAACTAACTCTGAATTACATTTGAGAAAATTGTTTCCAGTTCTTTAAGAGCTTTTGAATGTCGTTCATATTTCGCTGAATTTATAATTAGAGACAAGATTTAAAAAGATTCTCCAACTATTTCACGTTTTACGCCACAGTTAATTTTCTTGTTTTTTAATACTCTCTAAATTGCTTGTTATTATCTTTTTTTATAAATTTATCGCTCATTATGTCTTTGAAAAAGGGTATAAGGACAAACGATGTTGACTCTGCACAATTCGAGCCAATCAATATCCCTCTAGAAGATTTTAGTACTTGAGCTATATTACGCTATCGCTGATTTGATCATAAATTAAAAACCCTTCAACCCAAACAGATTCAAAATGGAATTTGGACATTTAAGGTTATAAAACTATTGTAAAACAAACAAAGTATCATTTTCCGCTGAAAAAACCTGAAAAAATGGATCGTTTTCAATTTAATTTCATGCAAATTCCCAGATTAATCGTATTATTGATTAAATGGATGTGTACCAAAAATATTTTCGTTTGAGAAGAAATTATTATTATTTCAAAAAATCTGTTTCAAGAAAATGTATTAAATGTCAATGAGTAAGTCTGTTTTTCAGGGTTATTTGTTTACAAGTTGAAAATAGTTTAACTGCAAATCACTCGAGTGCACTTCCCATTTAAAATTTTAACCCGGTTGCATCAAAATTGCTGTTAAGTATCTTTCTTGACGATTTATTTATTTTTGGAGTAGAACAAGGTTAACTGCTGTAAAGATTATGTCAAAAGTGATGATGATCTTACCTCTCGCTGATAATTTTTTCGTGTTTATTATTTTGGCGGCGAATTCCAAACCAGTTGATTTTTGGACACATCTTCTAACTACTGAAAAAGCTCCCCTAGAAAAGAAAGCATACGTTAGGAACGGTAAATCGAATTGAGATTTACGATAAACCAAATTTTAAAGTGCATTGAACTAACCCAAAGACTTAAAAATAAAAGGCAATAAAATGTTGAGCCAGCGGTTTGAAACTTTTTCAGTTTTAACACAAGAGTTTCATGTGACCCCCAACCCCGTTTTAAACTAGAAAAAACATGTGGTAAGATTAAAAGTATAACAAAACCATTGTGAAAGTATTAGCCATCGTTATAAATAGTAGTAAAGATGCTATTTCTACAGTAATGCGACCCTAACACACTATTTATAGTGAATTCACCCAATTATTCGCGACACATACCGTTGGTCGCTGAACTACTCTCATGTAAACAAGTCTGCTTGTGTAATAATTGAAGCGGAAACCAGAAATGCTATAGAACACTTATTTACACTAACCGAAATAATAGCTTTGGAAATATTGTACCAAACATTTCTAATCTTCATCAAAATAAGACAAACAATTTTTTTTCGACTTTGTTTACAATTAGTTATTTGCTAAAAATTAAAAAAAAATTAAACAAAATTTGTTTTTTGAAAAATTTGTAAAAACGTAAGAATACTGCTTAATTTTTGAAAAAAAATCAAAAAAATGTTTTGGTTTT